TTTAATAACCTAAGAACTGAAGAGCCGAATGAGGTATGTCTGACTAAAAGCCTGAAAGCTTCGGAATTAGACAAAACATCAAATATGTGAGGTGTATGTGAGCTGGAACCTCGAAGCTGAAGTAACAACACTTACACCAAAAGTTTGATCATGTAGCTTATAACCTGAAAATGGAGGATCCAGATGAGGTCTATTTGACTGGAATATGAAAACTTTGGAGTCACACAAGGCATAATGCATATAACTTGATGGATAGCAGGATATGATACATCAAGGGACTTGTGAAGCTGGAGTAAGGCGCATGACTTTGATCAAGGGATGTAACGTGGAACTGAGGCTACCACATCAAAAGATTTGCTGAGCTAGAACAACTCGTTGCGCTCAGATCAAGAAGCCGAAGATTCAAGTTGGGCTCTGAATCGGCCATGGTCTTGAAGCCCTCGTGACTTGTGTAGGCATTAGGATTTCGGACTAGTGGTTATAAATACCTAAAGGCATAGACAAAATACTAACCGCTTAAGGAATTATTGAGAGAGGACACATGTGTGTCGTGTTATCACACCAAAAGAGATCACAATAACAATATATGTTGTTGGTGTTTCTGAGGAGATGATACTCTGAACAAAGATGGTAGTGGACCAGTGCTTCTAGGTATTGCAAAGATCCTCATATTCGAATCCATGAAATATAAAAGATCAATAAATGAAAACAGTTGTGTTTGGTTATGAGTTTACAATTGTGTAATTGCTGTCTTGTTTTAGTGGATTCATTTATGGACTTAGTCCCGAGAATGGGAAAATCGGACCTTTATTAACAAATCTTATGTCTCTTATACTCTTGCGCATTAATTTGTTTTTTCATTAACCATACAAACATGTACTAATCCCGAATCGCACTTACATGTTCTTGAGCCAGTACACTAAATACATGACATATGCCATCCATATTTCTCGAAGAATGTTGTAATACAGTCACTGAATAGTTAAACAGAGGGAGTATATAAGTATTAATGTAAATAATTTGGTAACAACGCTAGTCCTTAATGTCCCACAAACCACAACACTCGCACGTTTTTCCTTCAAGGCAAGAAACCAACTCCATTTTTAACCTGCTGTCCGCATACAGATTTACAATTTTCGGCAACACAGGACCCAGTTCTTGCCTTAATTGGAATTGTTAGACAACGCTGCTCAAGAACCCCATTTACTCCTGTAATTATCTCTATAATATTAAAGCAGAAGTACATTTAGCAAAATGTTCAAAATTCATTCTAATATTACTGAAATTGCCATTGTTTTATAACTAAAGAAATTCAATTGAAAAGGGTAATTTTGTATATATGCAGTGGCAATTTCAGTAATTTTAGGATCAATTTCAGACATTTTTTAAACCCTATCCGACACAGATACGCGGATCTGGTTGATGACCCGGTTCACAACCCGTTTCATTAATGGCATAATGGTAATTTTTGCAAAAAAAATCTGGGTATCGATG